AGGAAGGCCCAGGGCGGTGGAGGACAGCACGTTCAAAATGTCAGTCAGATCATGTCACTTCCTGCTGAAAACCATTCGCAGGCTTCCCGTCACCTTTAGAATAAAATGCCAATGAAGAAGCAGGCGTAGAGGTTTGGGGACTGGTAGCTGAAGCCATGGGGTACATGAGACACCTCAAGGAGCTAGTGCAGAGCTAGAAGGAGGAGAACCCAGCATAGAAGCCTGGGGGGAAATAGCCAGAGAAACGCTGGGAAGGAGAAGGAAACTCGGGCAAGGATGGAGCACCAGGGGCCAAGGCCACAGGGGGCCAAGAACAAGGGCTTTGTCACCAGCCCAGAGGCTCTAAGAGGAAGGTCACAGGGGCCTTGGCATACGTTGAAGAGGCAGAAACAGGGGCCAGATTCATGGATTGGAAAGTGTCTGGGGGAGGAGGGAGAAGCAGATTTGAAGAAGGGGCGGGTCGATGAGAGAGGGCACACAGGCGACTCCAGAGGTCAGCAGGGTCTCGGGGATTTGCTTGCTGATGGAGAGGGGGTTAGGAGTAGGCAGAGGTGAGCCCTGGGGAGCCCAGGAGTAGCCTCAGTCCAAAGGGAGGGAGGCAAAGAGGGGACTTCTACCCTCCCTACTTCTCCTATTCCTCTGCTCTGGAGCTGAGCAAGCCGGAAGACATTTTCAAGGGCAGGTTCCAGCTCCAGTGAACTTTCTCAATCCTTAACTCCCACACTAGGGCAGCCCCCATCTTCTCTCAGGGCTGGTGTTCAGATTACTAAACTGACATGGCAGGGGCTCCAAATGGTTAGGTTTCATGTGGGCTATATGCTGAAACAGGGACCTCTGCTGGGCCAGGCACCGAGCCCCTAACTGCTGGGTGGTGGAGGTATCTGGGGGTCCCAGGAGAGATGATGGTCAGCGCAGAGATGTTTGGGGCAGTGGTTGGTTGGTAGTTATTAATTGTGCGATAACTTATGTCTGTCTTTGGCACATAGAGGCAGGAACCAGGTTGGGTTTGCTCACTATTGTCTGCCCTGTGCCTAGCAGTGTCTGGCACATAGTAGGTGTTCAATAAATCCTGGCTGAGTGACTAGTGATAGGAAGGGGAGCTGAGGAGATCATGAAGGCCTCTACCTTCCCTGTGGGGGAAGTGGTACCTGGCCCCTGTGAAAACAGCAGAGTCACAGCAGGCACTGTACTGGCCCAGGGCCTGGGGAAAGGTGGTGCTGTGGGGAGGGCTAGAACACCTGGGTGCCACTCAGTCTTCCCTCTGCAGGTCCTTGCCCCTCCCTTTGTGTCTGGGGACACTGAGACCCAGAGACAGACAGAAATATCCCTAGAGCCTAACAGCGAGGCAGGAGGTGAGCCAGAATAATAGAGGCCTTTCAGTACCTTGGTTTTCTCATCTATAAAATGGAGTGATAACAAAACTGCTCAGTCCGTAGGCTTCTTGTGAGGGTTAAATGAGGTAAGATGCATAGAACAGTGCCTGGTGTTTAGAATGAGAGCTTGGTAATGTTAGCATTGGCTAAGCCTCTATCTCCATGCAGTTTCTCCTTAGGAGATTCATCTTCTCCCATGGCTTTACCGCCTATAAGCCAATGATTCCCAGATTTATATCTCCAATGCAGACCTTTCCTCTGAGTTTTGGA